GGGAGACTAGTGGGCCTGAGGGGCCACATCTCCGTGACATACATTGCAATGTTCTTGATATGAATAAGAAGACGAATTTACTGTATGCGGAATTGCTTAGAGTTGAATTCTGACAGCAATATCGAATGCTATTGCTCACCCAGTTACTCTGTGAGCGAGTTCCAAAGCTGTAACTCACAGACCTACTGACCAGTGAAAGAGTGTGACCACAGTAATTCTGCGAAAGTGCTATATTTCTATGAAGCCTTGAGCCCTATTTTTCAGAAGGATTGGGTCCTCGTCTCAGCAAGAACGCCCCTAATGAGTCGGAAAGGGTGCCACGGCTGGGTACAGCAACATTGGGAGAATTCCACTGGGGGCTCTACGTCCAAGGTGCAAGGGAGGAGGTCGTACCTGCCCCCGCTCCTTCCCTTTAGGAGAAGTTGGTCGGGAGTAGGAAGAATCTAGAAAGACCGTAGGTAGGTTGCGAGAGTGGGACCGTAAGAGAATTTGAGGGTCGTACTGAAAGGGAGGAATTGAGGAGGTGGAGGGGGAGTTGTGGCACTGCCACTTCATCCATTCCCATGGTGTACCATATGGACACCTGGTAAGCCGCTGAGGGTCAAGAAGTATCATGAAATTTACAAAAATTTCTGGAAATTCCAGCATAAGATAGCATAGAAATCGAAAAAGGTCGAAGATGAACAAGAATATCACACAATACGGCATATGCGGGTTCGAGCCCGCAAGTTGAATGCGCGTGCCCTAACCGTTTCACCCTCTCCCGTGTTTAAGCAGGTCTTTTTCAGCGTTGTTACATAAATGACATAGAAAATTGAAAACCTAATAAATATTATTATTCCCATCATTACAAACTCTTGGAAAATGTCCAACGTACCGCAAAAATCCTTGTGGTGTTGAGTTGAAATTGTTGTAGGCTGATAGGGTGTCAAGCATTACAGTTGGTGTAATCGGTTCCGGTCCACTGCTTACACTGCTCACTCGGGATACACTTCGCGAAGGTGCTGTGATCACCGGCACACCGTAAGGACTGCGCTCGAAAACTCTGACTGAAAGTATATGGTCCTTAATTTGTACTTTGCGGTATGGTGTGGGGGAGATAGACAAGACAATCGTAGTCTGCCGCGCTGACGTGCGCGACCTATCGTGCGACGACGCACGGCACATTCTCTATGAATCATTTTGTCGATGGAGCAGCGAAACTCATGTGAATTC